TCATACTTTTTTAAATGCAGTCTTACTGTAGCTGTTAATAAATAAGGTGAGCACTTGACCCCGAAAGGAACTCGATTGTGTTGAAGAACTTGTAAGTTGGAATTACTGTGATCGAGATTTGACCCTTCTTCATTTATCCACAAAAACTTTAAAAAATCCCTATCTTCTTTAGCTAAGCCTACCTCTAAAAATGCACGCTGAATGTCGGCACAAAACGCAATTGAATGTACCCTGAATTTAATGATAATCTTTAGCAAATCAGGATTTAAATTAGGTCCGCTTTCCAAACAATCATTAAGTGATAAATTTCCCTTACTTTTAGAAGAAGCGTCAAAAACTATTCGAACCTTTGTAGAATCCTTCTGCTCGCGCACTACCGCGTGATGAGGCATGTAATACCCCGTTTTCAAACTACTATTTAAATACGTATCTACCCGTTCCACTATACCATCTCTCAAGTGTTCATTAATTATCTCATTATATTTTAAATATAGCTCGCTATTTTTCTGAAACTTATTATTTAAAAATTGTAAACGCTGTTTCGCGATTTCATAATTGTTATTTAAACCTTCAACACCCTCTTTCCACAATAATCGAGTTTCATACCTTTTATTCTTGTAAGTTGTATTTCGTTCAAATGACTCTAAAATTTCTTTATCTGATAGAGATATTTCTTTATCCGAACTTATCCCAATTGCTTCTAATTCCCATAATTTTTTAACTCTTTCATAATCTAAGTCCTCATTTACAACGGTTATATGATTAACTCTTGCGTCCTTACACTTTGATCCTTCGTCCTTGCCTTGAATCACAAAACCGAAAGTGCTTTCTGTTGCGACTAATTTTTTACAAATCTTCACGTTTCGTTCTCCTAAAATTTCCCAAATATAATCCGAACCTATTAATACTTGAATTTCGTCACTCGTACCAGCATCTGCTAATTCTATTCCCTTCTCAAACGCCATCTTTCGTATCCACCGAGAAGGAACTTTTACTTGCCCTAGTGTTATAGAATCAATGACTATTGCGTTAATTTTTATCTTTTTACTGGGATGGCTTACATTTTGCAATACGATTTCTACGATATCATACAAGCGCTCTTTTGCATCTTTGCATCCAAATGTGAAAATAATAAGCGCTTCTTTATTAATAATTTTCAACCCCAGTGAATCAACCACTTCTCGTAAGATGAATGACTTTGTTGACCCTGAATCTAGCATACAACGTAATACCTTTTCGTTCCCCCCTTTACACCTAACTGTTGCCGAAAACGTCTGTAAAAGAACGGAAGTCGGTGGTTTAATTTTGTTATTATTTTCATTACATAAGAGCGAAAGAGAAGCTTCAGGGATTGGCGTTTGTTTTGTCTGATTGGAAGTATCCGTCTCTAAATCTTTCGATGCGGCGTCACATATTAACGAATTATGTAAACCTTGGACATTGCACAGTCTGCATTTTTCATCTTTATGAGCACAGAAACGCCTTGGATGCCCTTTCGAAAAGCAAATAAAACATAAACCTCGATCCATTAATGCCTTTCGGCGAGCCTTTAAATCAAGTGCGCAATCATGATTCATATGACAAGCAGATAAACAAAATACGCAGACATTTTGATTCTCTTTCTTAGGCGGGGGGTAGAGAACTTTCGATTTGGATTAAAATGTGATTTTTGAAAGTATTTAGAGGGAGTTTCGCTTTGACTAGTTAATACCGAAGCACCTTGCTTATTCGTACTGTAAATATTTCTTTTAGAATGCATGTAAGATTTATTTTGATAACCTTGATGGGAACTTTTGTTTCGTATTGATGTTTCATTTACATCAAAATTCTTAGAACGCGCTAACATCATTGATGTTTCCCTACATTCCACTTCAGTTTTCAAGAACGTTAGTAGTTCATTAACATCGAAATTTTGTTTATCACTTCTTTTCCTAGTGAATTCTAGAGTTAAATTCTCGGGTATTAACTTTAACAAAATAGGGGATAATAAATGTCCATAAGAACCACTAGTAACATTTAAAGAATTTAAATTCCTTATTTGTATTTCTATATCGTCATAAAGCTTCCTCAAAGAAGCCGTATTTCCGGAATATTTTACAGGTTCTAAACTCAACAATTTATTCATATGCGCATTAATTAGCAGGTCATCTCTGCCGAAACGGTTTTTTAGTATATCAACAGCCACCGTATAGTTTTCACTAGTAAATGTTAATCCACTAATAGCATTTAAAGCTAAACCTCCCAAAAGCGATTTTAAATAACAAAACTTGTCAACCGAACTGAGACTTTCGTTTTGGTGAATGGAATTACTAAACTGATTCCAGAATTCAAGCCAAGAACAAGGATCACCGTAATATTTTGTAATCGTTAATTTTGGCAATTTTAAAGTATTAACTTCACAAGTTTTCAACTTCGGAGATATAGTTTCCTCACTAGAATTTCTAGATTCAACTTTACACGCGTTTTTTCTTAATTTTTCCTGAATTTTACATTTAAAACTTATAATTCTTTCCTGATATTCCTGCGCGGAAATTACTTCTGTTTCCAACTCCTGTTCCGTAATTATAAGTTTTTCAATCTCAGAATCGTATTGTTTCAACAACTGCGATTTTTCAAGTAACATTTCGAGTAATTCTTTTAATTTCTCATCCGCGGTTTCACCCTCTTCTAACAATGCAGAATCTATTTTACTCATCAACTTGGTAGTTAAGTTACGCGTCACCGTACGCAACTTCTTTGCCTTATTCATAGCCTCCATTTTACCATTAGATTCTATCAACTATAATAATCACCAAGATTTTTATTCAACAATTCTATTCAAAACTGGAAAAATGAAAAAGGGCCTACCTCGAATTTCTTCGCGTTAAATCCTGGCTTTTCAGTCATGAACTCACTAATTTTCTTCGTCCATTCTTCATCTCCACAAATCAAGTCCGGTGTCACCAGAAAAAATGTACGTATCCAAATGATCAGAAGGTTGTTGATGCTTGTTCCTTGATCTATTGCACCAAGATATTTTACTGTACATTTATTTACAATTTATTTACAAGTCGTATGCCACCTGGCATATTTACAAGCGTTATGCCTCCTGGCATGTACATGATAGACATATTCTGCCACCTGGCATGTGAATTGATACATCATACTAGTTTTCTGCCACCTGACAGATACGATGCAATTACCTCAATTAGCGGTAATACGCCCGACATTTTGGCGTGTCCGCTTCCCTTACGTTCTGTAACGCAACTAACTTTTTGTGCGGTGCGCCCTCTGGGCACAAATCACCGCAATCACCGAGGAGGCCAAAACAGATACCATGTTGAAAATTATTTACATACTAGAAAAGACTTTTTTTTTGTAATAGACTTTGTAGAATGGATACAAGTCTTTTAAACGTATGTGAACAGATTAGGTATCAAATGTTTTCAACTCTATTAATGTTTCGCTCAGGAACAATTAAAATGAGCGGGTTTCTTGGAGGCTAAAATAAGTTTGTTTTCTTTTCCATCTGTTTCAGTAGCTACTAGTATCCGTTCCATCCGTTTCAGTAGCTACCGTTGAGATCACTCACAAATACTTGAAACGATAGACATTTTGTCTGCATCGCTATTACGGAGCGTCAAGTAATTAGCTGTGTTGTGCCACACCAAGTATCCTCATCTACGCTGCGATGATGTCCTCAGTGCCATGTACTGTCAACAAAGCTGCTATTGCTTTGGTTTCTCTTGAATTTGACGCTACAGGACAGGAGTCAGGGCCTACAATACTACCCATTTGTGGATGCACTACGGGAAACGAACATTGTTGTTATACAGGTTTAGTACTTGAATTGATGGTATGGGTGTCATATGGCACACATGCCGTTCATCTCTAGCCCCATATATCCTTTAGTTTGGCTGGTTTTAATGCTTGTAGCTTTTCCATAGTTATGATTTCGATACCTTCATTGCTCCCTTTTAACAGAATAGGGTGTGATCCCACTTTCCCCAATACTGTGATATATTTTTCTCAATACACAGGGTGTTCAACTCCTACCTTGGCAAGTGCTTTCTAAGATTTGACAAACATCATACATCTGGTCAAAATTCTCAGAAAGACTTCCTGCCAGTACCCGCCGGTAGCAATAGAACAGATGACTTCTGCCATTGAATTGAAACAGTTTGGACTGAAGTACTTTCCAAAACTATCCACAGTCTGTTCGAATCGTTTCCTTCCACAGACTGTTCGAAAAGAAGAAAGAAATAAGAAATGTTATTATTCAAAAAGGCGTATGCTCGAGATGCTTATTTCTGCATGTTCTGCACCTCAAAATTAACCAAATTTTTAATCATTTCATCTTTCCATTAGAATTTATTTATAAAAATAAACATAATTCTTCTGATTGCTTTCTTTGATGATGCTAGGAATTTTAATCGCCAGCAGTGTACTTCCTAACAATGTATTCTGCATTGAGCATAACTTTAGAATTGTTAAAGCGATCACAATTATTTTATTAAATAAGTGTGATGTGAATAATAGTATGAACAATAAAAAGGAAAATAAATCAAAGTAATGAAATAAGCTACTGTAGAATACTGTTGTAACTATGTGATTAATTACGTAGCCTTTAATTTATTTTGTAACTTTTACCTTCGTAACACTTCAAAGCTTCCATCATTATCAGCTGTTATTTTATAAATGATGGTTGCTTTGAAGTGTTTTGAAGAACACACCAAGTCCATCTGATACTGAATATTCAGTATAAACTCTAATTGTTGTTGCGCTATGAGTTAGAAAATGTAATGGTTAATTAAATGAAAACAGGAATTAATAACTATTTATGAAACCTGCATTTCCTAACAATCATTAATTGAATACACTTGATTTACGCGATGCAGTATTATTTGAAAATTTATTATTTTCACTATAGACACTTACACTTTTAATTAAAGACCTGCATTAATTTCTTGTAAATAAGTGAATGGGATACGATTACTTTTATTTATTTACTTTTTGTTTAGAAGAGACAAAGATTCAAGGCTATAGAATTCCTCGTCGAAGTATAGTAATTGCAAATCTTTGGACCATCAACAACGATCCAGAAATCTATCTTGAACCTTCTAAATTCGACCCCAATAGGTTTCTGGGAAAAGATGGCAAAAGGATAAAAACAGAAGGTCCCTATCCTTTCGGCGTTGGTAAGATTTCCAATTAATATTTTCGCAGAGCTTTTGCATCAATTGCTAGTAGAGTAACTGGACTACATGTTATAAATAAATTAATTTCCCCTCTTTTTATAGATTTATAATGTACATATGTTTAAATATTGAGAACTTGCAAATAGTATACGCATGTCTTTAATAGTGTTAAAGAAATTTCAGCTATGCAGTCACAAGCAATACTTAGAAAATAAATCATATTGACAAAATAAGCTACTGCAACAATTTAAGAAGGGATATGTTGCTTATTTAAATTATCCCTTCTGTTTAAAATGTTTCTAAGTTATTAAGAAGGTTAATATACTTTTTTCAAATTTAAATTAAAATATATTAGAGCAAATTTTTAAACATCCTCACTTTAAATGCTCTTACGATAAAATTCAGATTTCACTCGAAATTCAATCTTGCTGATAAAAAAGTTGTAAAAATACTTAAATAGTTATATCGATTCTGCAAAAAAATTACAAGTAAAAATTGCCTCAAATTGTCTAGATGTTGGGATAATTTGAGAGTGTGGCTGATTATTTGAGATAAAAGATATCAATACTTTTTATCATTTAAGAAATGGAAATGAAGAGGTTCCTTATGAACAAATGATATCAAATCTGGATAACAGTTTTAAAATGCAAAGTAAGTCAAACTAGAAATGCATAATATTACTTTGATAAAAGGCATGACTGTGTCGTTCAAATTAAGCCTAAAGATTTGAATAAAATTATTACACGCGATAAGATATTAATATTCGATTATAATTCTTAAAAACCAAGTTCCAAGTGGATATTTCCAAAGTCTTCGAAACAAAAATTAACCGTAGATCGAAAATTAGGATATTTTCTCTGCGACAAGAAAAAATAGTGTATGAAGAATTCTTGGCCAGTCGAATAAATGTTACAGTTTAATTTGAACTGGATCAGTCTAAATGTGTGCATCAGAGAATATATCCCGTAAAGCTGGAATTAAAAGAAAAATGCAGCTAGTGGTTTCTTTATAATAAAATTACCCTTACTGAAAGTCCAGCTTTAGATTCTCATCCAAATTAGTTCTATCGTAAATATCATTTCTTCGTCGAGTTTGAAAATTTGCATTCTTTGGCTATTAACCTCAAGCCAGAGAGCTCTGATCTGTTTTCTGTCTTATTTTATATTTAATCTATATTTTTGACATGCATACTTTCCAAGAATATAAAAAAATCTCTTATTGCTTACTACACAGACGATAAATCTTGTCATATACTCTCTAAATCATAGTTGCTATCAAGAGGCTGTAAGTGTAATAATTGTTGGAAAACGGTAATATTTAAACATTGTGTGTGTGTGTGATTATGGCAAAGCCTCGAAGGCTATCTGTCTAAGAGGAGGGATGCCTTCGTTGAGGACTTTCTAAGGGAAACAGGCTCGTATACATGTTACACATGGGGAAAACCACGTAAACGCCGATGCAGCCAGCCCGTTCGCGGGATTCGAACGTCAGACCGAACTACCAGTGTTCAGCGACTTTACCGCTCGGCCGCAGGTGGGTCAGTTAAACATTGAAAAAGATACATATGAAAATTCACAAAAAACTTCAAACCTGAAATATCTAACAGCAATTTAAAATTCCTGAGTTAAGAAGCAAATTGCAAGAATGTCGAGAACAAATCCAAGAACTCCCAAATATTGAATATACAAAAAAAGAACAAATACGGAGATTAGAAGCATTCCGTGAGCAACTGGTACAGAAAAGGCAATTATGCTAAAATACATAAATATGCGTCATTTTCATGTTCCCAAAATAAAACTTTATAAGAATTGGCAATTTTGATTGTGATATCAAATTCTGAAACAAAAATGTCTGTTAGAAATTTTGGGAAGTTTGAGGTAGCTATTAAATTATATTTTTACTTGACTCTCTTATCGCTTATTAAAAAAAGCTTCAAAGCTTCTACAAAAAAGAAATAGGGGAACTTTGGAATTATCCCGTCGACCTGCAAACGCTCTCGAAAATTCGCAAATCCTTTGGCCCTATCATAATGGAAAGCAATTTACAAAATAAACGTTCTAAACACATTTAATTTATAAAATAATAATAACAGAAATTTATGTGTATACGCAATAAAAAGAATCTCAACAAAGTAAAAACCTGTATTTTTTTAATAATTACACATTGAATTATTCTTTAATCTAACCATATATATTATTATAAACTATTTCGGCCATCAAAAATCGTTGATAGCTTTTAAAGTGCAAACAAACAAGTCATTATCCTTGTGCACTCTCCCCCACATAAATTCGTTTAATTACGAAAGCCAAGTGTTTTCAGGCAGTTCCGCTTGTTTCTCCATTTTGTCAAACCCTATAATCGTTCTATATTTAGTGTATGTATACCAGTTTCAGGATCCACAAAATTATACCGATGATTCACTTTAAAGTGTTGGATTACTGCTGCTTCCAGTTCATCAGTTTTGTAACTTCTCTACGAGCTTGAGAAAATTGTAGTTCCTTCTGCAATGTTGTTCTGAATTGTAGCCATTAGAATTACTGCGTTTCGATTGGGAACCTTTACGGTGAAGCACTCATTGATCTCTCTGAAGAGTCCCCCAAATATCCATTGTTCTGGAAGAACACGACAGACTTGGTTTTTGCGCTTTGTAAAAAGGCTATCATCTATCTGTACAATTTTGTTCGGACGTCCTATTTGTTTCGAATCATGTTGTAGAAGGCTATAATAGGCTAGAGCAGTGTTTCTCAACCGTCGGTTCGCAAGAAATATTTACCAGTCCGCGAAATATCCAGCTATCTGTCCAACATCCAAAGTGTCATCGGCCGACAACCGAAATTACAACAGCACCTACATTACAATAAAATTTACAATACAATTTATGTGGAAAAATTGTGCCAATGGATCGAATTAATAAACTTACCGGTCCGCGAGAACGTACCGAAATATTTTACCGGTCCTTGGAGTAGATCCAGTTAAGAAACACTGGGGTAGAAGGCTTTTAATAGTGCACACTTCCCTCATATAATTGTTCCGATCAACAATTGTCCTTCCTATTAAATCCAGCTGTTTTTCTCCTCATTCAATTGATGTTAATTCTTGCGATCAGCAGTAAATAAACCGAGGGCAGTCAGAAACGGGAGTTCTGAGCCCTCCAACCACATGCCTTTTCGAACAGCTACTCGCTTATTGCACCACTTTACATTGCACCACCATTATCAGTTTTGATATACAACGCCATATCGTGACAATGAACGCAAATGTTCTTATAAGAAATGATTCCATACTCTTTAAAATATGCCACTACACTCTTTTCGTGCTAGGCAAATCCTAAATTCGAATCATTTTGCTGCGGAGTGAAAAAAAAAAAAAAAAAAGAGAAGAGGGAAAAAAAAAGCAGTATATTTCAGCACGCTATTAAATAAAAAAATAAAATATAATAATAATAATAAAAAAAAAAAAAAAAAACTAACTCGCGAAGTCAAGTATTACACAGTTATTTGCGATTATTAGCGCAGAAGCTACCTTTTGGCGATAATATCGGGTTTGGCGAAAATTGTCGACTGGATAATCTCAAAGTACGAAAATGGTCGACGGGATAATCTCAGATTACCGAAATAAATTTGAACGTTAAGACCGTTCAGAATGTGATAAGGAAAACACGATACTTTGCATCGTAAAATTTATGTTTTGTATGACTTTCAAGTGAATAAACAGATTTTATAATACAGAAAGTTATACATCTGAAATTTTAGATATGTGTCATGTGAAAGAAAAAGAGCACAAATTCAGATTCACTTGAATTTTTCTGATTTATTTATTAATTGACACTTCAATGAGAACTGAAAGTGGCATCAGAAATTGCAAGTTTTTAAATTAAATATCCCGGTCGAATTTTATCGTATGGGAATCAAATTTTTGTGTTTCACGGTTATAATGAGTAAAAGTCTCTATACGTATATTTTCTAAATGGCGGAACGTATAAAAGCAATTAAAAAAACTGATATTGAAATAATATTAGAACTTACTTTCTGTCTCGAAAGATCTCTCACAAGTAGCGTTAAGTATATAATAAATTAGGTAACAGCTGTTCTTCGCAGATTTTCCAAAGGATTAACGCTCCAAATGTTTGTCATCTGGCACTGGGGTGACTTTCCTCTCTGTACTACAACACTCCTACCATGTTTAAAGTTTTTTTTTTATATTCCACCGCTTTCCTGTTTTGAGACTTATTTTGGCGATCTACATTAGTGGACAAAAATTTCTGCCGACTTTGAAATCACCTTGTGCCATCAATCTAAGGCTTTCGGCTACTGATTTCCAAAAACGTCCACTAAATATTTACTCTATCCCGCTGTACGTACAGTGAGTCCCAAAATTGAGGGTAAACTTAATGCTAACTTAATTTGTAGGCTATTAAGAATAGAAATTATTATGCAAGTTTTCCTAGTTTTGTCCCATTAAAAAATATACATTTATCTTCTTAACTACACAAAAAATAAGTTATAAAACTCAGTTAAAAATATTATATTACTTAAACGAAAAACTTCAACTTCTGAAAGTCACAAAATTCAGAGTACACTTCTTAAATGACTGTGTAAAACTAACAGCAAAATTTTAAAAATAATTTGAACCTAAGACTTGTACAAAAATACAAGCTTTTAATATCCAAATATTAGTCCAAATTTGAAGCTTACTACCTTTCTGTGTGACAAATATTATGGAGAATAGGAAAGAAACTACGATTGAGGAAAGAAAACTGGCCATTAATCTGTCTAATCAATGACAAATCTTTGTGAGAAAAATAGGAGAAATACTTGGACTGAAGTGTAAATTGTATTAGAAAAATCATTCAAAAATTTAGAAAGGATGGTACGCTGGAAAACGAAGCAGGGAGAGGCAAGAAGAAAATTCCCAGTTCAGCAGCAGAGAGGAGAATTTTACACAAGGTAAGGATTGATCCTACAATAAGTGTCCCCAAAATTGCCGCAAGTACTTCGGAAACTGGGGGGTAAATCTGTTTCTGCGGAAACTGTGCGCAGAATCCTCAGAGGGGCTGGTTATAATGGCAGAAAAGCTTTCAAAAAGCCCGTCATTAGTAAAATAAATAGAGCTAAGAGATTAAAATTTGCTAAGAGCACATTCTAAAGCCTCAAGAGTTCTGGAATGAAGTTATTTTCAGCAATGAGAGTAAATTTAATGTTTTTGGCAGTGACGGTCGTCGTATGGTGTGGCGCAAGAAAAATTCAGCTTTAGATCCAAGAAACACAATTCCAACTGTGAAGCATGGAGGTGGGTCAGTAATGGTTTGGGGCTGTATGGCATCATTCGGGAAGTTGGAAAGCTAGTGTTTATTGATGGAATAATGGATAAAATGGGTTATCTTAATATATTGAAAAATAATTTGAAGGACAGTGACTAGGATCAAAATTCACATTTCAACAGGATAATGGTCCAAAGCATACAGCAAATACTGTCAAAGAATGGCTTTTGTATCACTGCCGAAATCAGATGAACACACCTCCTCAATCTCCTGATTTGAACGTGATCGAAAATTTGTGGTCCCACCTTGAAGAAGAGGTCCGAAAACATCAGATCACAAGTAAAGAACATTTGAAGCATGTACTAAAAGTGGAGTGGGAAAACATTTCACCCGAAATTACGAAAAATCTTGTCTCGGCGGCTGGAAGCTGTCATCAAAGCCAGTGGGTATGCTACAAAATATTAATGTGTTATTTTTTTATAATTTATGTAATAAATCAATTGCATGTACCCTCAATTTTGTGAGCTCAGATTTTTGACAATTTTTGTTGTACATTTTGTTTCTGTATTTCATGCATTTTTTTTATGTCTCTTCATGAATAAATATTAAGATTCGGTATCTTTCTACATCCTCGTCTAAAGGTTTTGGTGACTGTCTTTATCTGACAGTTTTTGTTTTCATTCTAAACATGAATTCTGTCGTAGAATGGAGTGTACCCTCAATTTTGGGACTCGCTGTATATTCATTGACACTCACCTGCTTTTAAATTTCACCGCTAATTCAAATCATTGTTCTAGCGCACCAGGGTTTCTTAACTCAGAAAAATCCTGAATCTGAGGCAATAACTTGGTAGTATTATTTGAAGTCTTCACCATCAGTTTTTTTTTTCAATATAACAAATTTACCAACTTCGCTTTACTTAAAATTAAATCTGTTAATTCCTCAGCCTTAGTCTGATATTTACCAAAACGTTATTTCGCTCTATCTTTCACCACAGGAAATGCTGTATGAAAATACTATACTATCTTTCTGTTAACTAGTTAACCTTTTAAAGTTGTTTCTTAGTTGTCCATTTTTTCCCTTTTCATTCTCTTGTTGCAGAACTATGTGTATAAAATGTTAAATCAAAGAAGAGAAAGCGTGAATATGATCGACTAGATTTAAACTTAAAATAGCCTTAATGGAATGCACGATGCTTGATTCTTCATATCTTGACCCTTTAAAACTTAGCTGCTGAGTAATGTAATAAATGAGTAATGTAATAAATGACAGAGATTGCTTACTTGGTATAAGTTTATTAAAGTTTAGATTAAGATTAGGTATTTCAGGTTAGACAACATGAGAGGCAAGTGAATACGTTCTTCCAATGTATTGAACTTAGATTTTGTTTTAATCGTAAAAAGTTATCTGTATTGTTATATTGTGGTCTTAGATTTCGAATTTTAGTAGTTTTCTGTTTTCATTTTAAGATTATAAAACGTAAACTGAAAAAAAAAAGAAATTAATGTCGTGTAAAATTTTGTGTTTATTTAAATTTTAATATTTCAGTTTAAAGCGGCAATTCTCTAAAGTATTACATAGTTAACATATAAAAGTTGAAATAATACATAATAAATACTGAAAAGTATTGGGTTATTGGCAAAATTTTAATCGCCATAGTAGCATAATAGGAACATAAATTTTGCGCGAAACCAACGTTGATGAAGGCAAATAGGCGACACCGTCTGCCAATTATCCGATATATTTCCGTCAAGACTTTGTAGAAAACTGAGAAAGCACATAGAGAAAAATTCTGCCAGCCACTTATTCATCCTGATTTTATTAAAGATGTCATTAAAATAGAATGTAAAGAAACATTTAAAATTAAGAATCAGAAAGAGTTGCTAAGCTGTACTATTAGTATGAAAATTCTAAAAGATTCACTACAAACTTAATATTTTAAGTTAATCGAATAAAAGATATAAGATAGTTTGAATCTTATATTTAATAAACGGCTAATAAAATACCTATTTTAAATTTAAAAAATTTTTGTTAATTAGAAATTTTTTTTTTAACTTTTAGGCAGAAAATTCTGAGCTTTTAGGAGCGAGAAACGTAAAATTGAGATATGCTGTCGCTGGGATTCGAACTCCGAATCTTCCTATTTCTAGTTGAACGTTCTCCTGGTTATACTAGGGCAACAAGCAGCGAGCAAGAGAAAAATCTCTTATTAAATGCACGAAAACAAAGCTCTTAACTAACGAGCGAAAAGTTCTATGTTCTATACAAGACACGTGTTATTCAAAAATATAGCAACCCCAAAAGCAATGTTTTCCCCTGGAAAGTGTTTGGTTTGGTTTTATTAGATTACGACAAAGCACTCGAGGGCTATCTGCTTTAAGGGAGGGATGCCTTCGTGGAGGATTTTCTAAGGGAAACTGGCTCGTATACACGTTACACATGGGGAAAACCACGAAAACGCCCATGCAGCCAGCCCGTTCGCGGGATTCGAACCTCGGACCGAACTACCAATGTTCAGCGACGTTACCGCTCTGCCGCTGGTGGGTCAGTTAAACATTGAAAAAGATACATATAAAAATTCACAAAAAACCTCAAACTTGAAATATCTAACAGCAATTTAAAAATTCCTGAGTTCCCGCCTGGAAAGGGAAAACCAAATCATACTATCAACTATATGGCTCAACAGCGGTCGAAAGGTAGAAGCCGCTGAAGTCCAAGGTTCGAATCCCGGCGAACGGGCTGGCTGTATGAGCGTTTTCGTGGTTTTCACCATGTGTAGCGTGGATACGAGCCAGTTTCCCTTAAAAGTACATCCATGGGGCATCCCTCCTTTTCCGTGTACTGGCCAAGGGGGGATCATCGTAATAAGTAAAAAAAAACAACAATCAACTATATAATAGCTTTCTTACTGAGGAGTTATTATATTCAGTCTTTATTAATTTTACTTTAAATTAGTTTGGTACAATATTTAATGCATGTAAATGAACATACTAAATGATAAGGAATATTAGTAATATTTCTTTAAGTTCTGAAAATTATTTTCTTGTTTTCAGGAAAAAGATCTTGTGTTGGAGAAGCTTTAGGTCAAATGGAAGTTTTTCTCATCATCTCAGCTATTCTTCAGAATTTCACAATTTATCCAGGAGACAGCATTCACACTTTGAGAGCTGTCCCAAGGTCACCATAATTAACAGTTCGGGGCTCATTTTGAAACGCTGCACCTATTTGAAGACGCACATAAAACGAAGTTGTTAATTGTTCGTGATATAACTCCTCATGAAATCTGACGTGAAACTGTTCTTGCGGAATTTATTTTCCTTTCATGACTGCATTTGTTTCACTTAGTTTACGTCAGAAACTTTTTTCATACTTGCATAACAGTTATTAAGTGTTTTTTTCAAAGTTTTTTAGCACAACAGAAAAGGTGCTGATAAGTAATGTGAAAAAGAGTGTACGGTACCCGCTGCTTATTAAGATATCTTCTGTTCGAAGCGTATTTGACTTTATTGAGTGGCTTAAGTTTCACAGACGGTGATTTGAGTATTGCAGTTTGCAATGTTAATTTTAAATGCACCCAGTAAGACAGGGATTAACAATTCGTTTAATAATTAATACCTAAAATACTAATTAAAAATGTTAAAATTAAATTTTTTTATGCAGATTTTGAAGTTTTAAAAAGTTTTTGTATAAAAAATTGACAGACCAAGGTTTGGATCTGACCAAAGGTTTGGTTCCTGGATATTTGAGCGTAAAAAGTGTCTAATTTTATTAATTAGGGACTTTAATAAGCGGCGGGTGCTGAATAGTCACTTCTGTTTTTATTATATAGAACTGTGTATTTTAGTTCATTTGTCAGTTAAAAGGCTTGCTGTATTAAAGTTTTAAGACTTGAAATAAACTATTACTTGCCAGAAAAAATATTATTTATATATTTTCCTTTAATTCGTAGAATGACGGTAATACCACGCCATATTGATTTTACCACAAATAATGGAAGCTTACAAGCGGTTCGGCTATCATACTTGTTGCACTAACAACTTGATACGAAGGTCCAGGCAGTGAAGACTACGAGTTTTTAAGTCTGGGGGTGTTTTATAAGATATAATTGAACTTGTGGGGCATTGTAGAGTCTAGAACTCAGAGGAAGTTTCTTCGAACCATGCCAACGTAGCTGAGTTATTCGCTTGTTAAAACACCTAAATGAGGACCATAAATGGATGTAGGTAAACTATCAGAACAATCTGATAGTTTGCAGTTATTTTTAGACATACCATGGGACTTTATATATCCTAGGAGAAATTGCTTCAAGGACTTTATATATCTTAGGAGAAAAGCACGGATCGCCATCATATACTGAATCGCCCTGACAGAGGGTTGTATGCTTTGGGATGTTTTCACCTCACTCAAACCCTGGCATTCATCTGATACAGTTAAAACCGATATTTCTTTTCAGATAAAACACCCATAATCCGTGGATAAGATGGAGCAGGTGAGACGCACTACACGAGAATGTGCAATTAACAGTGGTATGCATGGAGCATCTGGTCTTGTAACCAAGAGAAATGCACCGTGCAGTATGCAGTCCTCTCTTTGACATTGGTATCATTGTATTTCGATGCAATTTGGATTTATATCGCCTTTTTGTCTGGGTGAAACTAGATAGTTGTCCGTAGCGTTTAGACGGGCATTGTTCCCTTACTATCATTTGTTACATAAAGTTTTGGAAAAATGGTAGCAGATATTCGATAACATTGCTTTCTATAACCCTTTGATTATAACCTTTTTAGAGTCAAAGAATCATCTATTAAGAGCAAATTATGCATCCTATGTTATTATCTCTGAAATAGAATTTTTAGCTACTTTCTAGCAGTTGCTTTGCACTATTTTATAGTGTACAAATTTGCTTAGCTATAGTGGGCTTGAGTTTGTGTACATTCTACTGTGCTCTCGAAATAGAAATATAAATGTTTTACAACAGTTATCATTACTCTTTTGTTTAGTTAGCATACAATAATATGTAAACAATTAAAATATTTTCACTATTATATTGTAAAATAGACTTTTCTGTATTTTTTAAATAAAAAAAGTTCATTGAACTATCTATCTTTCTTTATTTTTGAGAAAAACACAGTGTTTTCAATATTAAAGTCGATAGAGTGTTGTGAAAAATTTATCAAAAATTTGAAAAAAGGTGGAGGACAGTTCTGTATTTCCCGTTTTGTTCGGACTATCAAGAAAATTCAAATTATGCTATTGAGGTCTTCAAAGTGCAATTTAGGATACATGTCAAATTATACACAGCTGTTCTGAACCTTTATTCTACTCCTTTACTCCTTACTAAGACTTTGCAATTCAGAACACGCATGTTCTCCCCTTTCCGAATTCTGACCCTTCCCCCACAAGAAACAAAGATTCGTTATTGTATGTATTATTTAAAATAAATATAGTAATAACACATATTTTAAATCAAAGCATGATGTTATCAATGTTCCGTAACCATTTTGAATATCAATATTTCAACAATACAAATTAGAAAATGATAAAATTGATGAATTCATTGACTATTGATGAGATTTATGCCTGTATTAAAGGCCTAAACCTTTTAATTGTTGTACCAGTGTGAAATAATAAATCATTAATTATTTCAATATAATATAATATGCAACTTTATGCATACTAACTTTAAAATAAAAACTGATACTCGATCTCAAAAGTTTCAATGACTGATTACTCTCTTCAGCATATAAAAGAAAAAAAAAGAATATTTTTATTTATTCTTAATTACTTTGACCCCAAATCATCAGACATGTCTTTGATTCTTTAAGAAGCTCTATTATTCGGGAAGCGAATGCTATTCAATTTTAGAATCATTTCTTCAAACATGCATTGAATGGCATCAAAGTCTCAACCTGATAACAAATAAGATATCAGGAATTTTAGACAGTAGTTGAAAAGTTGATTAGTTTTTGTTTATAACTGGGATGTTTGATTTGTAAATAATGCAACAATAAATGAATATTTTTCGTACTTGCACTGAATAAAACTTCCTATGCGTTTTACATAATAAGGATTCGAGCTGTCTTCGTGTCTTGTGAATGAAAGTTTATATTAAGCGTCTTTCAGCATACTTTCTTTTCTTCAAAGAAAGACTGCAGCTAGGGATTTTCTTACTACTAGTCCGCCTTATCTTTATCTCTTACCAGAATATTTCATCAGCAACCAAGCGGTAAAATCACTGAATACTGCTATTTCCGTTTGGGTGATGGCTGCATAGGCGTTTTAGTGATTTTCTCCATATGCGACTTGTATACGAGTCAGTAGAAAGTCCTCCACGATATCATTTTCCCCCTTAGGCAGGTAACCTTCGTGTGTTTTGCCGTAACTAAATAAACGAAAGCGAATCCGAAATGAACTGTTTGTCTTCAGTGGTCCTAGGCATTCGTCCAATGTTTTATATAAAGTTTAGCATTAAAAATTTCTTAAACGTTTTTTCCGTTTAAGGATATTGTCGCCATATTCTTATTCGCCAATTTTAAAATTGATTGGTTGCACAGTCAAAAATCTCTTTTTATCATAGAAATATTGAACATCGAGTTTAAAGGTCATTCAGACTAACGTACGAAGTTCTGTGAGTAACATGTTTTTTTCTTTGAGTAAATAAAACACAACAGTGGCAAGCTTCGAGGTTTTCCTTAAGTTCAATGTAAATATGAGCTAGTTTTCCCCAGAAAATTCATCATGAAAGCACACTTTTCCTTTGTCATCTACCCCTCTTATATTTTGCCATATTCAATTAAATATACACACAAACACTTCTTATTCTTAACATGATTAGTAATTAATTTCATATTAGATGCTACGGAATCCTTTAAAACTTAGCTCAAACTACAGAATTCACTGTTTAAACTAATTCTCATAAACAAATTATTAATTTAGATTAATTAATACTTAAAATTAGGCAAAGCAAACCTTTTTTTTTTGGCTCACATTTCTTTGCTCCTGATGAAGAAGGGCCTGTTCCTGTTCATGAAGGAAATCGCTATAATCGCGACTAAAATTTAACCAAAACACAAGATTGTTGTTTTGCTTAATTTACGTTTGGCGCGTTTCTCTTCTACCTTAATTATAGCGCTGATCAGTGCTGTTCAGCTGGAATTGGATCGAACTATTTTTTTATATTAGTTTTTTCCCAAGCTTTTCCGCCTCGTGACTTACATATATTTCTCAGGGTAAGGAAAAAGGAAAATTCCTAAATGAAAATCATGTAATAATGACATTTTAATAACTAAGTAGATATAATCAATAAAATTATCTGATAATTATAAATTAATTCACAATTAAAAGTAGATATATATTATTAATGATCTAAAACGTGCTTACTAATATTATTAAACTGTTAAATAACACATAAAAGAATAAAAGCAATTCAAAACTTTTCGCGGGATATAATTTGTCTCTACTTTGGTGCCCTGTACACTGCGCACAAAAAAAGGGGTGTACTGTTCTATATCTCCCGTTCTACTAGGCAAACTGATGGAATTCAAATTGAGTTTCTCATGTCTCGAAAGCGCGACTTAGGATATATATTAGATTTATATACAGCATCATTCTAACGTAGGTATTTTTACACAAAATCGGACTTTTTCTGAAATGACATGCCATGTTTTTCCATATTTCGCTTCTACGACTCAAATTATGCCTAAATATTAAATTTTGTAAAATTTGGTGCGAAATTTGCAAAGAAATTCAGAAATTTATTTTGGCGTATTTTTTTCAGTTTTCGCCAAGAATAATTTACTTGGCGAACTTCTTAATTTATAGCAACCCATTTTCCTTTTCTTTTTTTCATTGTAAACGAGATGGAAAAAAGTAATCCTTCATACTCTCAAATAATTTTAACAAAGTGCGTATTATCGTTTGGCGTTATTATCTCTCAAATGAAAAAGATGCCAAATTTCAAAACGCTCCGCTATGTAAATTCATGTGTATCTTAGAAGCTTTTGAATAAAAAGCTCTTATTTTTTGCAGGTGTGCCTAGAAATACGTCTAATTTAAGATGATGTTTAAAATTTTGTAGGTTATAATTTAAAATTGTTTTCAAAAAAAAAAAAAATATATAAATTTTTATAACAAATAATTAAAAATGTGCGAATTATATTTGGATTAGGCCTAAATTTCGAATTCT